CTGGGATGCTCAGCTTGACTCTAGCATGCTTGTGCCTTTCTTCATGCCTCTCTGCTACACACAGTTCTGTACACACTTGGAGTACCAAGAGACAGTGCTAAGAGGTAAAGCACAGGTAGGGTGGGCCTGCATTTTACCTTCTTCACTGCTCTGTGTCCAGCGCCCAGTTCAGGGGCTGGACTATAGCAGTTCCTCAATTAATACCCACTGGATGGATGCATAATTAGTTGAACGGATCCTAGAATGTGATTTTAAAAGTCTACTTACATTGTGCCTGAAAATCTGTTTGAATTGATGGGCACACGGGCATTGGAGGCCAGGATTTTCCAAGATGAGCCTGCTCTTAACTTTTAAAGAAATCTGGGTAGTAATGACTCCATGATCAAGGAGCTTAATAACCACACTGCAAACACCACTGAGGTTTTTATGAACTTGATTTTTTAGATGTTTTTTCTCTGTGTGTGTTTTTAAAATTTAGGAAAAATGAGTACCACACTGCATTTAAATCCAAGGAATGAGAGATTATAAATATAGATAGCACCCAGCTTAATGACAGGAGTACAGTCTGAAGAAAATGCACCATTAGGTGATTTTGTAGAGCTTGTTTATACAAATTTAGATGGCTGAGTACAGGCTGTATTACTATTTGACATTGTCCTGGGGGACCAGTGTTATTTATATATGCAGTCTGTCATTAGTCATAGCACTATTATGTGGCATGGGACCACATTTTATTTATATTTGTATCATTGTAGCCTTTGTAGGGTTCCCCACGTGGCCCCCAGGCTAGAAGGACAGAGAATAGTAGCTGAGATATACAGCATAGGAAACTGAGGCCGATACAGATAGCACTGTTTTTCTGTGGCCCACAGAGCAAGTTCACTGCATATTGAACTCAACCCCAAGTCCTAGCCTGCGTACTGGCAGCTGAGATCAAACACTTGACAGGAAGCAGCTTGAAGGAGGAGAGGTTAGTTTGGCTCAGGGCTTGAAAGGATAGCCCATCACAGTGGAGAAGGCATGCTGCACAAGCAGCTGGAAGCACAGGCAGTGAGAGCTAGCTCACATCTGGACAGACCAGGAATCAGGGAAAGGGGCGGGACTTCCGTGGCTCATGTGCTTTCTCTTTCTCCTTTATGACTCAACCTGGAGCTCCAGGCCATGGGGCACTGCTGCCCACACTCAGGACGAGTCTTCCCTCTTCAGGTTTACCCCTCTGAAGACACTCTCACAGACAAGCCCGAAGTTGGGTCTCATTAATGACCTACGGGATTCTTAACCCCACCAAGCTGAGTACAGAACTTAGTCATCACACACTGGGTGATACAAGGACTATTTTAGGCATAGGCATAGCTCTTAAATCAGAAATATGCAGCCTTTTTCTCCTTCTCCTAGCGTACAACTTTTTCAGACCTGGGCAGAGGTGTCCTAAAAAAAAAATCTTCCTTCTAAGACATCACAGGGCCCTCTCCTATAAGAAGGCATAAAGTGTATTTAAAAATAGGAAGGAAACAGTGCAGAAAATCAGCAGAGCCAAGGGCAGAACACACTTTCTCAAGTGCCCTGAACAGGACCCATTCTCATGGCCCTGCCTTAGCCCTGCTCAGCCTGTGTGGCTGGGAGAGCTCATTAAAACACTCAGCTGGAAGCCAGTGTGGGTGGCCACAACTGAGTCCCCAGGAGTGCAGGGGCTTCAGGGCTACCAACACAGTTCACCAGCCCTCGGAATCTCTGGTCAGGTTTTTGGTACAAAGACTCACCCAAGGGGCAGAACAAAATCCCATACTCTATAAAGATGGTCCAAGCATTTCCCTTTTTATTTCGTTTATCTTTGTAACTACCACATGTGAAAGCAGGGAGCAGGTGGCTGTGCGCCGAGTGGGAAATGGCCAATGGATGTCTGAGACAAATGGCCCTTCAAATGGATGACTCTTCAATATGACATTTTAAAGGTTACCTTGAAATTGCTGCAGCTGCCCAGGTAGCAAAGGAAAAGGGTGCGAGAGTCCTAAAATTTCTCAAGATGGCCAAAATTACCTTGATTGGCCAATGGGACAGGTGGCTCAGTGGTCCATGTCACTGGTATTTTGCTCTTGTCCCCACTCATGTCTATAGTCTTGTGATCTCTGTCAAAAGAATTCAGAGAAGACATAGAGAATATAGTTAGAAGACATAGTTTATTAGAGTAACATGGGACACCCTCAAGGGGTGAGAATGAGCCATGACCACAGAGAACCTTGTGTTGATTTACATTTTAGCTAGACCACACTCTTTCTAGTGGCCCTGAAGTAGACAGCTGCTCTGGCTTCATCTCTTTTGCTTTGATAAAACACCCTGACCAAGAGTAACCTGTGAGGGGAAAGGGTTCATTTGGTATTCTATCTCCCAGGTCACCTTCCATCACTGAGGGAAGTCAGGACAGGAACTCAGGGCAGGAACCTGAAGCAAAAGAATTCGGATTGCTAGCTCACTCTCTGACTGGCTCCCTGGCTCGCGTTCATCTAGCTTTCTTCTACAGCTCAGACCCACCTGCCTAGGGATAGTGCTGCTCACAGTGGGCTATGCTCTGCCCTATCAGTCATCAGTTAAGACAATCTCTCACAGACATGGCCACAAGCCAATCTGATGTAGGCAATCTCTTGAGACTCTGTCCTCAGGTGACATTAGACTGTGTCAGGTTGACAGCTGAAGCTAACTAGGACAAAAGCTTCCCCAAGGGGTATTTTCCTGTCCAGATGATTGATGGCCAATTTGACTGAAACTTACAGGAGTTGGCATTGGTATGTATGGAATGCATACAGCTGACCTGGAACCAGCTTTAAATAGTTATAAATGAATGTCCTCAGGCAGTTGAGGATGTCCCATGGAAGAACCAGATTTGACTCAGGTCCCTTTCCTCCAACCCATAACTAGAGTTGTGGGCTTCACAGGATGTTGATTATAAAGAACAGGTTCAGCCCTCATGTCTACCAGGCCTGCTAATTTCTGACTGGCTAACTAACAGCTTCATGACCACTTATCAGAATGGTTCCCAGGAGTTCCATAAAGTCCCCAAAACTAGTGTTAGGGAACTTCCCACAAGGGACTGCCTCCAACTGGATTCCAAAGATAGACAGACATACCAAACGCCAGGTGAACAATCCACAGTGTGTGCTTAGATTCAGGCCTGCAAGAGAACAATTTTACTGGACCGGATCACAGAGTGGTCAAGACACTTTGTTTCTCAGCCAGTACAACAAAGAAAATGGAGGCCGAGGAGGAGAATTATACATTGGGAAAGGGTGTTCTTGTGAAACCCAGGAAAGTTGGTTTATGAAGAATGACCTAACATGACATATGCCAGAGTTAGAGCTCAAAGAAAATTCTCGAAATAGCAGTCTGTTAGCCAAAGTTTGAGCCATAGGACATCACCAAGTCGTCAGGGTTAAGCCTCTGGGGTACAGCAAGCTAAAATCAGATTCCAAACCCAAACTGGCCACATGCTGCTTCAAGCATCATTTCCTCAACTGAAAAATAAAAAGATGAGCTCAGCACAGTGGCACACCCCAGCAACACCAGCAACACAGCCTCAACAGGAAGACCAGGGTTCAAGGCCAGTCTGAGCTACATAGTAGCTTCCCTACCAATCCGAGACTGTCTGAAAAACAAAGTATAAGCAAACAAAAACCTTAGCAACAACAAAAGAAAAATGGACAGATTATATATAACCATCTAATCACTAGGATTAAACAAGCAAATGGAGGAACATTTCTTAGCTCAACTTCTCCCCCGAGTAAGCTGTTCTCAGTAGTCAGAGGGGTTCACAGTCTCTCCTATCTTTATCAGAGTCTCAAAGCATTTTAAATGAGCTTGAGCAGAATGTCAGGAAGGCAACAGATGGAATCTTCCAGGTGTCCACGTGTCTCTTTGAAGTGTGCCGTGCCCTCTAAAAGCAGTCCTTTTGAAAGCCTCGGGGCACGAACATCTCATCCATCTCAATTTCTCCAGGACTAACTAGATCAGATTTTTCAAGGGTGCGTCTACACAGTGGTTTGTCATTTTAATAAGTGCTCAGACAGCCGGCCAGACTCCCCATACAGACAGCATGAGTGACCACTCAGTGGAGCAGACATATGCTGCCTTTCCCGTTCCATCAGCTGCCAAAGGCTCCCCATGGAAAAAGAAGACGGGAGGCAGGGGCCTTTAAAGCACAGCACAGGCTTGGGGCCAGCTGAGTAGGAATCCAGACAGCAGCCTTCACACTCTCTTCTGCTTTCTCATTTATCTTTCCATTCCCCATGCAGCAGTGCTTTTGAACCAGTGTGTATCAGGCTATTCATCCTGTTTGTGTGTTTGGAATGCAGCAAGGAACAAATAGACACAAAACCTGCACGTGAGGACCTTGTATCCTAACAAAATATGAGACATCCACGTGAGGGGATGGAGAAGCGGCTCAGTGGTTAAGAGTACTTGCTGCTCTTGCAGAGGGCCTGAGTTTAGTTCCACTACTCACATGGCAGCTCACAACTGTCTGTAACTCCATTCCCAGAGGATCTGATGCCTTTTCTGACTCTATAGGCACCAGGCATGCACACGGTGCACATACACACACAGGCAAAACATGCATACATGTTTTTTTTAACGAAATCTTTCTTAAAAGAAAGAAATGCACCCTATACACAGTATATAATGGGGATTGCAGTCACTAACTCCAACAGGCTATTGCATTAATCATAAGTGACAATCCATGAATCATAACAGGCATTTAATAAACTGTGGCAATTATTTTGCTTCAAATTGCTCTCAGGTCTCTTCAAATATCTTAAACACTTCATGTGTAATTGACCCCCAGTTTTATTCATTCAACAAACTCCTGAGCATGGGTCATAGACTATGTTCTTCAGTGGCACCAGGGATACAAAGAAATCCCCAGAAGGGAGCAGCCTCCAGTCCCAGGTCTGTACTAATCAGAACAGGGCACATCACTAATGATGCTGTCGTTTTAATCCATTGTGTCTCAGCTATGGCTGGCAATTCCAGGAACGCTATGAGCAAAGACATGGAGATAGGAGTCACTTTCCAGGACCACAAGAAGATTCCCAAGCAGGCACGGGATTACACACCGATCGCCACAGACCGCACTCGCCTGCTGGCAGAAGGCAAAAAGCCGCGTCAGCGCTACATGGAGAAGAGTGGCAAGTGCAACGTGCATCACGGCAATGTTCAGGAAACCTACCGCTACCTAAGTGACCTCTTCACCACCCTGGTGGACCTCAAGTGGCGCTTCAACCTTCTGGTCTTCACCATGGTCTACACTATCACATGGCTGTTCTTTGGCTTCATCTGGTGGCTCATTGCTTATGTCCGAGGTGATCTGGACCATGTGGGTGACCAAGAGTGGATTCCTTGTGTTGAAAACCTCAGTGGCTTTGTGTCTGCTTTCCTGTTCTCCATTGAGACAGAGACAACCATTGGCTATGGCTTCAGAGTCATCACTGAGAAGTGTCCGGAGGGGATCATACTCCTCCTGGTGCAGGCCATTCTGGGCTCTATCGTTAATGCCTTCATGGTGGGTTGCATGTTTGTGAAGATCAGCCAGCCAAAGAAGAGAGCAGAGACCCTCATGTTTTCCAACAATGCTGTCATCTCCATGCGGGATGAGAAGCTGTGCCTCATGTTCCGGGTAGGTGACCTCCGAAACTCCCACATCGTGGAGGCCTCCATTCGTGCCAAGCTAATCAAATCCCGGCAGACCAAAGAAGGGGAGTTCATCCCCTTGAACCAGACAGACATTAATGTGGGCTTTGACACTGGTGATGACCGTCTCTTCCTGGTGTCCCCGCTCATCATCTCCCATGAGATCAATGAGAAGAGCCCTTTCTGGGAGATGTCGCGTGCTCAGCTGGAACAGGAAGAGTTTGAAGTTGTGGTCATCTTAGAAGGAATGGTAGAAGCAACAGGTAAGACATTTTGCCCTCCTCAGCTACCTCAACCTCTTCTGCTCCCTGGAGCTTAGACCACTGTGGCTCTAGAATGTACACATTTGTGTGTAAGAATCCCAAAATGACAGTGAGGACACCCTGTTCCATCCCCAGTGTGACCCGAGGGGCAGTTACCCAAGATAGAGCACTAACCATCGCTAACACGGGTTGAACTCTCCAATTCCTAGGTGTGATTCTAGACTTTAAACATATTACAGCCCCGGGGTCCTCCCACACCTCCACAGGGAGAATTCAGGGCTTAGAAACAGAAGCACAGATACCAAGCCAGCAGGACCCCAGAACCAGCCCTTACACCAACAGGTCAAGGTGCTTCCTGCCCTAAGACAGGCATGGGGTGATTGCGAAGCCTGGGCTGACTAAAAGAGTTGATATTTTAGAGTGAAACTTCACGGCCCTGTTAGTGGTCTTCATCCTTCCTAATGCTGTGACCCTTTAGTACAGTTCCCCATGGTGTGGTGACCCCAACCATAAAGTATTTTGTTGCTACTTCACACCTGTATGCTTGTTTGCTCTTACGAATCAAAATGCAAATATCTGATATGCAGGATATCTGATGTGTGACCACTGTAGTGGTCACAACCTACAGGATGAGAACCACTGCTATACATGTTGTGGGCCTCATCATTAGGAGAGGATGGTGTTGTTTTCGGTTTCTGTGACAGAAAATAGAGTATCACCTAGAATACGACCTAAAGCAACTTGGAAAGGAAAAGGTTTACGCATCCTTTAGGTCACGGTCCATCATGGAGGGAACTCAGGACAGGACCTCCAGCAGGGGGAAATTGAAGCAGAAACCATGAAGGAAGAAGGCTGCTTACTGGTTTACTCCCTCTTGCTTGCTCAACTTGCTTTCTTACATACAGCACAGGCCCACCTGCCTAGGGATAGTATCACCCATGGTGGGCTGGATCCACGCAACCATCAATCAAAATACACCCCGGGGACATTCCTGATGGAGGCAATTGAGAGTCCCTCTTCCCAGGTGACTCTGGTTTGTGTTGACAATAAAGATTCACCAGGGTAGATGGTACCCAGCATGCAGCCTTTCCTGAGTTCACGGGTATCCCAGTACAACCCATTCTTAAAGAGCACCTACGCTCCAGATATGGGAGAGATGCTGTCCTAGCCGTCCTCTCTCAGGAGCAACCTGTCCCCTAGCTGTCCTTCTGCTGTGGCAGATCTCTCTGAGGTGACTCAGGGAGCTCAAGGTCTAAGAGGACCTGAACTCTACTTCAGAACCACAGGCACCAGCCTCATGGTTGGACCTTTGTACCTCCTACTTCTTGGGAATGAGGGGCCACTGGTCAAATGCTGTGACTGTCTTCCTTGACCTTCCTTCTCTTTAATTCACCATTAGACTGAGCAGCAGGCTAACCCTAGTGACGATTTGTTCAAAACTCCCCCATGCTCAGAATAACACATCTTCTTCAAAACCTTACAAATAGTGTGTATGTGCTTCTCACCCCCTTTGCAGATATGGAGGCTGAACCTCAAAAGTGCCAGGCAGACATTAAGTGTTCATACTTGGGGCTTTCATTTACAAGTCTCCAGCCTTTTCTGCACACCACACTGGTCCCTAAGATGTTAGAGGCTTGTTAAAGGTGACCAAATATACCTATCAGCCCTTGAGAATCTGGCTACTGGCTGGGAGACTCAGACAGCACCTCCACAAGGCTTCCCATTTCCAAGTCAGAGTCAGGCAGGATGATGGTGGGCCCTAGAGACTGTGCCTAAGGCTGCCTGGCCATCTGCTGGGGGCCGGAGCCTAGCCAGGAAGCATATGGTGGCAGCTGGAGGAGCCCCTGGGGCTGAGGCCAGTCAGGAAGCAGGAAGCGCATTCGTGTAGATGGGGACTCTAGGGTCACTGTGTCCTTGGTAACGGGGTCACGATAGAACACAGGATCACTTTCTGGGGAAGGAGCTCCTCTCTGAGGTCCTGGAGGAGGGATGGGGCGGAGACAAGTCTCATCTTGATGTTCTCACCGCCACAGTGTGCAGCAGGAGAGCACCCACAGACCACCCAGCCGAGGGGGTGGGTGCTGATCCCATTTGCGGGCTCCTCCTTCCATATTTCCCTGAAAGCCTTGGCCGGTACTGTCCTGTCCTAACTGCTTGGCTTCCTCGCCCAGAACCTGTGCAAGCTAATCTTTGCTCTCTGTCTGTGGAACCATGTGGGAGACCGAGACCACCTACTCACAAATGGCGTGAGTTGTTTCATTGTTACGCTCCGGGAACCCAGCCTTGGCCTGAACTCAGGCCTAGCTTGAGTTGAGCGGCATAGTTCTTCCACACCCTTCCGATGTGAATCTGGGCACGTTGCTTGACTTGTCTGCAAATGAGGGGAGTCAGTCTCATGTGCTGGTGGGAACACGAAAGGACCACATGGAACGCCACAGGTGCAGCACACAGCTGATCCGTGCCTTGAAAGGTAACAGGTGCAAGCAGCCAGCGTCCTGGCTACAGGATAGCCAGGACCATTTCCCTAGAGGATGAATAGGAAGAACGAGGCGGAGAGTCCCATGGGACTTCTGCAGGCACTCTTACGGGAGTCCTGTGCCAGGGTCTTTACAGGTCCCTGGGGACCTGCAGGCACTGGGCCTGGGCTAGCCTGGCCAGTATCCAGTTCAGGTGTTTCTACCTCTGCTGGGCTGTTGAGTGAGGCCTGATTGAAAAGACCTGGCTGGGGCGGGCATCACCCTGAGCGCAGAGTGGGCTATACAAGCCCACCGTGGATGGGATGCTTTGCGGAGCCCAGACTGCTTGTTGACAAGGACTGGAGTGGGAGTGGAGAAGGCTCTCCTTCAGTGCCCAGAGAGCACAAGCTAGTACTTCCTTGAGCAGAGATTAAACAAAAATTTGCTTTTCTGTGACCCTAAGCACAGAGGCTTCCTCATCCATAAACAAAACTGCCCTCCCTCTCTGGAGAGAAAGCAACACCTAAAAATAACACAGCGGTGGCAGGGCTGCACAAACGGATGGGAGGCTTCGGAGCATCCTCAATCAGGAGCCGGGCTGGGCGTCAGGCTGCTTCTCCTTCCTGTGCACGTTTGTGTATGGAGACATGCACATGTATGTCAGCATGTATGTGTCCATGAGTGTGCAGGCTTCTGTTTGTATGTTCACTCAGAACCATTTCCCTATGTTCTGAATGCCTGTCAGCAGCATCCTGATTCGTCACTCCGAACTTACCTTGTTCAAAGCCTTGGCCTGCCTCCTTCCCAGTCCCAGCCTTCTAAATGCTGCTCTCAAGAACTGTGTCTCCAACTGTTTCGTGCCCCCCTTTAGCATCTAGAAATGTACTCCAGCATCTCGCCAGGGCATTTTTCTTTTTCTTCCCTATTGTGGTTTGAGCTCCTCCACAACAAGGACCATCTTACAGTCAGCTTTATCTTCCAGATCAGTGGCACAAAGTAGATGTTCAAGAGGCACTTGAAAAAAATGATTGGATGAGCAGATGGTTGGATAGATGGATAATTGGAGGAATGGATGGTGTCTTAGTTACTTTTCTCTTGCTGTGAAGACCATGACCAAGGCAACTCATAAAGGAAAGTATTTCATTGGATTGTTTGCTTGCAGCTTCAGAGGGTTAGTCCATTTCCATCATGGCAGGGAGCATGGCGGCAGCAGGCAGGCAGGCTGGAGCATGGTGCTGGAGTAGTAGCTGAGAACTCACATCTTATCCACAGGCAGCAGGCAGGGGTTGGGAGGGAGAGAGACAGGAAGACAGAGACAGAGACAGACAGACAGACAGACACACACACACACACACACACACACACACACACACACACA